CAACCCCGAACCCCGCTCCTTCCGCTGCTGCCCTGTTACCAGGGCTTCCCACCGCCGCGAGGCCCGGGGGCGCCTCCTCGCCCCGACGATAACCGTCCCCCCAAGTCCCCAGTCCCCCTTACCTCCGCCGCGAGGCAGCCAGGCGTCTTCCTCTGCTCCTCCGGCTTCCAGCTTGGCGGTCCCAGGACGTTGCTGCCAATCACCCAATCTCCTCCCCAAGCCACGGGCGGACTGACCAATCAGCGGCTTCCTCCGGCCCGGAGGCGGGCCCCGGGCTCAGAGCGGAAGGCTCGGGTGCCGCCCCACGCGCCGGCGGCCGCCGCTCGTAGCCATTGTACGCATGCGCGCGGGGCTCGGTTGGGTGCGGGCGCTTTCTCTCTCTCGGACCTCGCTTTGTGGCCTCACTGCTCCGCCCCGGGAAGTACTTTGTTTGTAAACCTCAGGCTCCAGGTGTGCGGGGCGACCCACATTCTGAATGTAGCCTAGAGCGTGGCATGCCTTGAAAGAAGCTGTGAGATGTAAGCCCTTGTTGTCCTAACGTATGTTGAGCCCTTTCATCCCCCGCTGTAGACTGGCGTGCACGCGGGAGATCTTTGGCCTCTACGGACCTCCCATCTGCGGTGCGTTTGTGTTTAGGGAGCATGAGGATGCGGGGTCCTACAAAGTGCCTGGTGGGTGAGGATTTCAGTTTACCATCTTCAGTTCCAGCATCTGCTTACGCTGACTCATTGGGACACCTGCTTTTTAATAATATTCTAGGACACGCTGGATTTCAAATAATTTTGTCCTGAACATATAGTAACGAGTGTGAAGGCCTGATAAAAGAGCCCTGTGTAGGGGCAGAAACCGATCAGTCCTATGTACGGCCCTTCAAAGGCTGTTGCTGATTGGCTGTGTCACTCACCCTCCCATTGTAACTGATACCAGAGGTCACCGGGCAGGCACCCGCGCTCTCCTTCTGGATACTGGCTCCCAAGTCTCCCCCTGGCAAGGGCTTTCCTCTTTCAGCAAAAACACCGATTCATTTACTCAACAAGGGCTATTGGGGGGCCCACTATGACAGTACAAAGATTTTTTTTTAAAGCCGTGAACCACACCATCCGTGAACCTACAGGCTAGCAGCGAGATAGAAATACAAATTTAACGTATTTAACCAAACGTTATCATGAAGGTATGGAGAGAGGGAGCCTGGAAGCTAACCCTGCCTGCCCAGGGGCCTGGGGAACACATCAGAAAGGGATGAGTGGGAGGTCCAGGCATGGGGTGTGCTTGTTGAAGCTAGCCTGTCAGTACGCAGAACTGGGAAATATATTACCAGTTTGTGTTTCCATTCTCTGTTTATATTCCTGTGATAGGCAGCATCTGAGAGGGCCACCAATGGTCGCTTCCTTCTGGTATTCACAAGATCCCCTGTCCAGCAGCCTGTGAGAAACTGAATCCTGCTCACAGCCATGTGAGTGAATTTGGAGAAAGATCCTCCCCCACGTGTGCTTTCAGATGACTGCAGCCCAACTGACACCTTGATTGCAGCCTTGTGGAAGACCCTGAGCCAGAGATATCCAGCTAAGCTGCACGTGGATTCCTCATACACAGAAGATTTGAGATAATAAATGACTGTTGTGGCAAGCTGCTACCTTTTCTTAGTAATTTGTTAGGAAACAATGGACAGCTGATATGATTTCCGTCTCTGACACAAGATCCGTGGTTCTTAAATAGACTTTGAAGCTTGTTGGAAAATACATAAGCCCAGCCCTGCCTGGTGTGGCCCAGTTGGTTGTTGGTTTGATTCCCGATTGGGGCACATGCCTGGGTTGCAGGCTCAGTCCCCGGTGAACGGTGTGCAGGAGGCAGCTGACGGATGTTTCGCTCTCACATGGATATTTCTCTCTCTCCATCTCACTCTAAAAATCAATAAAAATGTTTGAAAAAATACATAAATCCAGGCCTCTTCCTAGAATCTAAGGTGATTGTTACGCATAGCTAACTTTTGGAAACAAATATAGAAGATTACAGGCAACCCATTTGGGGATTTTAGAAGAAAATAGACTTTATTTTTCTTTTTTAAGTATATCTGATCCTGGAGTTCTTTATGGCTCAGATTTCTTGGCAGAATCCAGAATGACTGTAACTTCATCTGCTAGCTGGAGTATTTATTGAATAGAGGAAAAGAATCAGAGCTTTCATTCTCTTTGTGGCCTTGAAAAAGTCCCTTGACCTTTCTATGCTTCCAGATTGCTAACTGGAAATTAAAGAATTATAATGCCATTATTTAAGCAAGAGATTTATCCATTATTAAGTGTAGATTAGGCTAGTATATTAGGTGATCAAGGCGCATTGTGGGCCAGCTTCCTTGTAGAGATTTAACAAAAGGTCAGGTTCCCATTTGTTCATGTTGGCAGACAGTGAAGCTTAATTCTGTTGTAGAAATTCTGTTTCCAAGTCAGACCCATGTTCAGTTATGCCTCTGCCACATACCAGCTGTGTGGCCTTGGGCAAACCAATCAGCCTCCCTTGGTCTCAATTTTCTGATGTGCTCAGTGGGGAAAATAGCCACCTCAAAGGTGGCCCTGAGGACTGATGTACAATACTAAAGGCAATGCCTGACTTAGCACAAGAGCCCTATAAATAATAGCTGTGAAGGACATACAGTCAGATCACATCATTGTGATTCAGTGGTAAAGTAGAGGACAGACAAATGCCCACATGTGTCCATCAGCCTGCTTCTCATATTAGGTTTAATGACAATCCCATTTGGTGAGGTAGGTAATAATCTGCAAATCGTACACAGTATCTTCCTTGGAAATTCCGACCCTTTCTCTCTAGTTCTGCTTTTTTCTCCAGCTCTGATTGCCTGTCTGTAGAAAAGATAAAACACTGGAATGGGCCTCAAATGGTCCTGAGTTAAAATTCAGGAAAATCTAGCTGGTAAAAGACCATTGGGGAGAGCAGTCAAATGCCCGTGTGAGGGGTGCTTTAAGACAAGGTGGGGCTGGATGTGTCTGGGAAAGAATTTCAGCTACAGGACTAATTGATGGGCCAATATCATCTCACACGAGGTGAAAGTTCAAACATGCAGCTAAATGCCTAATAGTTCAGATCCATTGGCTTCAAGCTCTGATCACTATTAAAGGCAGATAATGTTGAGCGAGAGAAAGAGAGTGAGAGAGAGAGAGAGAGAGAGAGAGAGAGAGAGAGAACTTTTAAATCCACTTAAGTCATGTAAATCTCAGTCCAGACGAATGTGTTTACCATGGTGCCCAGCGAAAAATTGTTGAGCTATTTGATTTAATCATGCAGTGTTGAGTATACTTGGTTGTTCTAAGCCTTGAAACTATTTTTTTTTCTTCTCAGATCAGTGTACAAAGTGATCTGATGTATATCCAAAAATATGTATATCCAAATAGGTGAAAAGATCACTGCAGAGACTGTGACATTTCTTTCTATAAACCAGTTCTTGGGATATACCCTGACCTGCAGAACTCTTTTGTTTTAATGTTTTTAAATTAGGTTTTATTTTTTAAATTATAATTACGGGAAATGTCAAACATACACAAAAGTAAAAAGCCTATGCAATGAATCCTTATGTGTCCATCATACAGCTTCAACAATCAGCAACACATAGCTACTGGTTCTATCCATACCCTCTCCAGGCCTCTTTCATTCATTTTGTTTGTTTGCTTTGGAGATGCTGGAGAATAAACCCCAGGGGACTCATACAGTCAAACCTTTTGATTCTTTTGAAGTGAATCTCAGGCATGTCATTTCAACCATAAATATTTCAGTGTGTATCACTCGAAGTTAAGGAGGTTTTTTTGTGTGTGTTTTTAAGGAGTCTTTTTAAAAAACATAACTATAGTGTCATTATCAGGCCTAAAATATTGATCATAATGTTTCTTAATATCATCAATTCAGTGTTCAGATTTACTTGGGTGTCTCATTTATTTTTTTTCTTTATTTTTATTGTTGACACTATTACTGATGTCCCCATTCCCTCTCCCTTTATTGTTTACTTTTTTTACAGTTGGTTTCTTCGAATCAGAATATTAAAAAGAGCTACCCATCACATTTGGTGAATATCTCTGAAATATATTTTATTTACATAACCCCCTTCCCACCCTTTTTTGTTTTATTTTGAAAAAGAAACAGATTTCTGTCCTATAGAAATTTCCCACATTCAGGATTTTGCTGATTACATTCCTATGGTGCCATTTAACAAATTACTTCATCTCTTATTTTCTGTAAACTGGTAGTTAGATATAAAGGCTTGATCTGATTCAAGTTAAATTTTTGGCTAGAATACTTTCATAGGTAGTAGTGTATACTTCCATCAAAAGCTAGATAATGTTCATGTGTTTCTCTTCTTTGTAACATTAATGGCTATTAGTGATCATTGCCTACATCCATTATCTCATTAAGGGTTTGTAAAACGGTGATATTCTATCATTCCTGTTAGTTATTTGGTTACCTTGAGGAATGTAAAGAAAAGCATGTTGAATGCTTGTTTCCATATATTTACCAGTTTTCAGAATGAGAATAATTGTCCCACATCACCTATTTTGTTACTCTGAAGTATAGTACATATACTAGTAAGAAAGATAAGTATAATGCTTGGTTTGATTCTCTTTATTTACCAATTTTCAAATCCTCTAAAGATGTTTCTTTTCTTTATCCCCCACCACCAGGATCAGTAAGCACTTATGAATTTTATCATTATAAATTAGCTTTTATCAGATCTTTTCTGGATAGAAGATTCTTATACAGAGAGAAGTGGGGATAAATGTACATTTATGGAATATCTTCTAGGCATCTTCTCTAGCACTGAGCTATGTGCTCTTACACTATTTTATTTAATTCCCACAGCAGTCTTGGAAGGCAGGTATCTTGGTCTCTGTTTTGTTTTTTGTTTTTTTAATATATTTTTATTGATTTCAGAGAGTAAGGGAGAGAGAGAGATAGAAACATCAATGATAAGAGAGAATCACTGATCAGATGCATCCTGCACACCCCACACTGGGGATCAGGCCTGCAACCCAGACATGTGCCCTGATCGGGAATCAAAACGTGACCTCCATGTTCATACATCAACACAAAAAACATTGAGCCACACTGGCTGGGCCCAATTTATATTCTTTACCCAATTTCTATAGGGTTATTTATTCCCTTCTTGACAATTTGTAATTAATTTTTGAACGTTACACTTTTCAACAGAGCACAAAGAATAAGGAGACTTTGACTAGGACTAAATGATAAAGATTTAGTCAAGTGTCTTAGGATTTTCAAATCATAAACACAACTAGGCAATACCCAGAAACTTTTGAAGAAGAAAGAAAACCTGAGAGTTCTTATAGTAAAAAGAACATTCTGGAGAAGACAGTCCTGCATCCTTAGCCTCTGGATTGTTCTGAGATGGTAACCTTCCAGAAGACCAGTGGTCTGGAGAATGGATATCAGGTGCCCTAGATGTGTAAACATTCTTTCCTATATTCTTCAGAGAGTTATCTATAGGAGATGTATATATAATCTTCAATTTAGAATAATTTCCTCATGCCTCAGCTTACTTGGTTTGAGTAATTTAGCAGGTTAACCATAGTGACTCCATTTTATTCCTCACTCTTTTCCTGACCTTCTATCTGCCCAATGAGTTGCAAATTTACCTCAAACCTACTTTCTATTGACATTGCCTATACATCTTTTTGCCATATAAAAAAATTTTCTTTAAAACAAGTCAAATATGTGCATTTCTTTCTTTTTTAACTTCTGGGTTTCCAGTCTTATTTAAGGTCTCCCCTACTTCTTGTTGCATGTAGTAACCAAGATTTTTCTGAAAGGATTTTTAAAATATTTTTTTACAATTGAGTTTTTAATTCATCTGGAATATATTTATTTTGCTAAATGATGGATATGGATACAATTTTATTTTCATCCAGGTGGATAGTCAGGGCTTCTATTTAAATTTTTTTCTCATCCTTTAAAAATTATGATAGTCTATGTATAGAATTTATGAAGAAATAAATACATATATCAAAGCTATAGGCTCAAAAAATGTTTTAAGCAAAAAATGTTTTGGAAACCATTGTACTAGACCATGAGCTCCTTGAGGGCAGTAATTATGGTTTTCCTTATCTTTTAATTCATTGCTAAGACTGTCTCTTGTATGTGTTTCAAAAATGGTTGTTAAAAAAATGGAGTGAATGAAACTGCCATTATCTTCTTCATGTGTCTTAAGCAACACAGCCATTGAGAAACTTGATATTCCAGCTGTGTCTTGTGGCAAGCTATCTGAGGCTAAGAACAAACAATGACTCATAATGGCAAATAGTATAACTTCACTGGTGTCAAGTTCATATACTTTCAATATGAGAATATAAACTATTCATTCGTTCATTCATTCATTCCTCACCCAAAGATATTTTCCCATTGATTTTTAGAAAGTGTGGAAGAGAGGGAGGAGAGAGAGAGAAACATCTATGTGAGATTGGTTGCCTCCCGCAGGCACATGCCCTGACCAGGGCCAGGGAGTGAGCCTGCAACCTAGGTATATGCCCTTGACCAGAATCCAAGCCGGGACCCTTCAGTATGCAGGCCAACGTTCACTTTATTCATTGAGCCAAACTGGCTAGGGCAAGAATATAATTCTTAAAGCCTTAAAGACTTCCCTATGACTAATAATTCATAGATGCTTATGAAACTGGTAATTATTTTTTTTGCAAATACACCCCTTGCTTTTTAATGCCACTCATCTACCCTCTATATGGCAATTTACTAGGAAAAATGTCTCTATACTTTAATGTCAGAAAGGTGATTACATTTAATTTTTTTTTTTTTTTTTATATTTTATTGATTTTGTATAATTCTTAAAGCCTTAAAGACTTCCCTATGACTAATAATTCATAGATGCTTATGAAACTGGTAATTATTTTTTTTGCAAATACACCCCTTGCTTTTTAATGCCACTCATCTACCCTCTATATGGCAATTTACTAGGAAAAATGTCTCTATACTTTAATGTCAGAAAGGTGATTACATTTAATTTTAAAAAATATATTTTTATTTATTTCAGAGGAAGTGAGAGGGAGAGATAGAAACATCAGTGATGAGAGAGAATCATGGGTAGGTTGCCTCCCGCATGCCCCTCACTGGGGATCGAGCCCGAAACCCCGGCATGTGCCTGGCCAGGAATCGAACCCTTGACCACGTTCAACTACTGAACCACACCAGCTGGGGTGCACTTACATTTTATATAGTTTTCTACACTACAATTTCCTCCTCTCCCCCCAATTTCGGAAATTGATTGGTGTGGTTGATTGTTAACAAGTGAGGCTGGTGTTTCCAGCCCTAGACGTGTATCATCTCTTTTTTTCTTTGTATTTTAGACTCTGTGTTCACTTATAACCACTCCCTCTTGTGACTTGGGGAAACAGAAACCATGCCCAACCTTTTTTGCAATAGGTCAAACAGTGCAAAAGAGACCTTTTCTACTCCACTTTGCTCCTATTTGCTGTTTGAGTTTATTAGAAGGAGGAGGAGGGTAATCAAGAATTAGGGAAGGTAAGTAAATTTGGGCAAAAGTAAACGTTTGGCTTTTAAACTCACTTACGGACGAATCAAAGTACTCGAACTTCGAGCTGCTAGGAAGACTCTAGCAAGGAGTGAACGAAATAGAAAGCCTCAGATGGTGCCAGTGTTCTTGGAAAAATTCAAATAAATGTTAAAGATTATGAAGACTCACAGAAGCGAATGAAACTGCTTTATTAGAACTACAAGAGTTGCTAGAGAAATAAAACAAAAACACACAACACGTTCCATTTGAATTTCTGAACCCAAGAGCGGGGGGATCCCCACGCCGCTGGGGCGCAGGAAGTCGGAGCTGGAAAAGGGCGAAGATTTCTCAGCCGGAATCCCGTTCAGCGGACGGAGCGGCGTTCAGTCCAACCCAGGTTCTTGGGCTCTCATTGGCCCCTTCCGTTCAACACTCAGTGCATTTCCCCAGGTCACCAATGAACGCTTCCGTGCAAGAACGCCTTCGCGGATTGGGTGTCTTCTCTTCGAGTTGCAATGGCATCAGCCAATCAGAGGGCAGCACCGCCGGCGGGTTCAGGGTCATGGGGGAGAGTCCGTAGAACCTTTTTCCGCTGGCGCCCTCGCTGCTTGGCTTTGGGAGTCAGTCCGCCGTCTCCGAGGCCGCGGCTGCGGACGGGGGGGCCCGCTCCACGCCTCCGGGGCCCTCTGCCTCCTCCGTTGGTGCGGCCCCGATGGTGCAGCAGGCCCCGGACTCCTGAAGCCCCGGGAGCGGTACGTAAGGTCCGGGGGCGGGAGACCGAGCGGCGGGGCCGGGAAGGCCGCGGAGAGCGGACCCTGCTCCGAGTCGGCGGATCGGCCTGGGCAGGGCGCTCGCTCCGCCCGCCTTCTTATCAGGACCCCGCCGGGCCCGTGAAAGCGCCCTGCTCCCATGTGCCCTGTGCAAATGTCAGGTGTATCCGCTTCCTCTCCGTCCCCCGCACGCCTGATTTGTAGGAACCCTAGTATTTACTAATGGGTGTCATCTCGCTTCATCTCTCCAGGTGCTTCTCCGGTAACTTTCTATTAGTTTTTCTGCACCTTGATGTCTACACTAAGAGCACAATCACATGGTTGTGTTTGACTTCATTCAAGAGGGACCAGTCTTCACATCCTTGTATTTAAAAAAACCCTTCTTGGGATGCATTGGTGCTGTTAGCAACCCCTTTCGAGGTGGTGTGCTGATGTGTTAGGGCGGTGCCGGACATGCTCCCCCAAATCTGGGGGAATAGAAGTCCCCACAGTATCAAGGATGGTTCTTGTTTGGTAGCTGCCGGTACTCTCTCATCTAAAGTTTTCATTTTGTTTGATCTGGACAGCTACTCAGGAGTATGATGTGAGGAAATTGAGGCTCGAAGGGGGTGAACCAACTTTTCAAAGAGTTGCTGTGAGTTGCTAGTCAGGGGAAAGCCAGGTGTGATCTCAATGCTTATGGTTGTCTTTTAAAAACTCGCCTCGCCCTAGCTGGTTTGGCTCAGTGGATGGAGCGTCGACCTGCGGACTGAAGGGTCCTGGGTTCGATTCTGGCCAAGGGCACATGCCCGGGTTGTGGGATCGATCCCCCGTGGGGGGCGTGCAGGAGGCAGCCGATCAATGATTCTCTCTCATCATTGATGTTTCTCTCCCCCTCTCCCTTCCTCTCTGAAATCAATAAAGAAATATATTTTAAAAATAAATAAATAAAACTCTCCTCACTGACCAGGTGTGTGTGCCCGCTGTTGCTCTTAGTATTTGCGAGCTTAATAATTCTTTGAGTCGAATCATAAATCTTGGCTGAAAGAAAAATCTTTCAGACATCTACCCTTATAGGTGTCTCACATCAATCACCTCACTCCTAGTCTCTTGTAAGTGTGGTTCCCCTGACCACCATAGCCCTCCCCTGGAAGTTTGTTGGAAATGCAGAATTTCAGGCCTCACCCCACCTACTAAATCAGAATCTGCTTTTTAACAAGATCTCTTAGGTGACCAGAGTGCTTGTTAACGTTTGGGGAGTATCCACTGTCTTGTACTGATTTGTCCAAATTGAACAACAACAAAAAAAAGAAAAGAAAAGGTATGCAGTATGTACGTATGTGTTGTAATAAGACGAATTATAAAGACAGAGAAAGTTTTTTTGTTTGTTTTTACATTTTTCTCATTTGCTGATGAGGATATGATTTTAAAAAATTAACTATGTCTGTTTTGGCAATTTTAGCTTTGCATCCAAAAATCTTAAAATATACATGAATATTTAAATAGTAATTCAAAACTAACTTGTAAGACATCAGGTGCCGGTCTTAAAAGTAAAAATGCAGGCCCAGCAGTATCCACTGTCTTGTACTGATTTGTCCAAATTGAACCAAAAAAAAAAAAAAGAAAAGAAAAGGTATGCAGTATGTATGTATGTGTTGTAATAAGACGAATTATAAAGACCTTGTTAACGTTTGGGGAGTATCCACTGTCTTGTACTGATTTGTCCAAATTGAACAACAACAAAAAAAAGAAAAGAAAAGGTATGCAGTATGTACGTATGTGTTGTAATAAGACGAATTATAAAGACAGAGAAAGTTTTGTTTTTTGTTTTTACATTTTTCTCATTTGCTGGTGAGGATATGATTTTAAAAAATTAACAATGTCTGTTTTGGCAATTTTAGCTTTGCATCCAAAAATCTTAAAATATACATGAATATTTAAATAGTAATTCAAAACTAACTTGTAAGACATCAGGTGCCGGTCTTAAAAGTAAAAATGCAGGCCCAGCTGGTGTGGCTCAGTGGTTGAGCCTGGACCTATGAACCAGGAGGTTACTGTTGGATTCCTGGTCAGGGTACATGCCCGGGTTTGGGGCTCCATCCCCAGTAGGGGCCTTGCAGGAGGCAGACCATCAATGATTCTTTCATCATTGATGTTTCTATCTCTCTCTCCCTCTCCTTTTCTCTCTGAAATATAAAAATATATCTTAAAGAAACTCATCTAATTTAGGGGAGCAAATCACAGCTTCTGCCTGCCTTTCTTTGCCTTCGTTTAAGTGCCATAGGAAATGCAGTACTTGACCACAGCTTCGGCCTCTGCTCCTTACGTTTGGGTATTTGTTGCTTTTCCTATGCAGATCCTTATTTGAGCCCTCTCCCCATCACTGAGCTTTGAGGATTGGAAGTTTTAACTGTTTTGACTTTGGTTCATCTCAAAGGAACAAGAAGGCTGTATGCTTTTCAGAATCCTTCCCACTGAGTAGTTAGTTCTCTAAGGACTTCCTCGGTGAGAATAGAGCTCTTCAGTTTCAAGGCCAATGTTTTATGTAAAAAGCCATCACCCTGAGTATTTGGTTCTTAACTGTGACTTGGCCCTTGGGCCTTTGAGCCAGTACAGTGGGGCCTTGACTTACGAGTGTCCCGACTAACGAGTTTTTTTTAGATACGAGCTCGGCTGACTTTTTGCTTTGAGTTGCGAGCTAAAATTCGGGTTACGAGCCAGCTTCAGATACCCCACCGCTAGTTGGCGCAGCGAATGTCACAGTGAACGCCACAACATCAGCCCAGCATCACGTGTCTCACTCGTTCACTTTTTGATTTGACATACGAGTAATTTGAGTTACGAGCTCTGTCACGGAACGAATTAAACTCATAAGTCAAGGCCCCACTGTAATTGGTTCTGCTGATTCCATTGTGGATTAGGGTCTGTGTTGGTGACAGCACATAAAGCTCATGGGTAAGCTGGTTTATAAGCAGGGATATTCAGGCTGTTGATAATAGAAGCATCTAAGATACACCATGCCCCCAAGCCCCGTCTTATGCCTGTGTATTCAGTCTACTTCTTTTCTTTAAATCTTTTTTTTTTACTTGCTCCAGTAACTGTAATATTTTCATTTTCAGAAATTGCCTCTCAAATACTATCTTGATAAAGCCCTGTTTTCTCTGAATCCTTTACTTTTCATTTGCTTGCAGACTTAAAAACTTTATACATTTTATGTATTTTATCTGGAATATGATTTTTTTTTGTACGTGGTATGAGTTAAAGATCCTTAGTTGTTTTAAAAATTGCTTAGAAGTTATTCCAATTTATTGAATAATTTTTCATTGATTTTTGACTCCTTGTAACTTTTAACTATCATTTATTGAGCATTTACTATGTGCTAGGCACCAATCTAACATGTACTTTAATTTGGACATTGCACCATTTGGTAGCTGCTACAACTAACCCCATTTTACAGATTAAGAAACAGATAAAGAGTGTAAGTGATTTGCCTAAAATCATGGTTACCAAATAATGGGCCCTGAGTCTGACTCCCTTTATTGAGTATATAAACAGCTTTTCTGGGAGTAATATTTTTATCTCGCTCTACCTCCACCCCAGTCCTGCTGCTTTACTCTTAATGACTTTGTAAATTTAAATATATAGTAGAGCCAGTTCTACTTTCTTACCGCCCCCCTCCAATAACTTAAAAATTTTTGTTATTGATTTTCAGAGAGAGAGAATAAGTGATTTGCCTAAAATCATGGTTACCAAATAATGGGCCCTGAGTCTGACTCCCTTTATTGAGTATATAAACAGCTTTTCTGGGAGTAATATTTTTATCTCGCTCTACCTCCACCCCAGTCCTGCTGCTTTACTCTTAATGACTTTGTAAATTTAAATATATGGTAGAGCCAGTTCTACTTTCTTACTGCCCCCCCTCCAATAACTTAAAAATTTTTGTTAATTGATTTTCAGAGAGAGAGGAAGAGAGAGGGAGAGAGAGAGAGAAGCAGAAACATCTATGTGAGAGTGATACGTAAATTGGCTGCCTCCTGCACGCCCCCTACTGGGAGTGAATCCTGAAACCCAAGCATGTGCCCTGACAAGGAATTGAACTGGCAACCCCTCGGGTGCATGCAGGTTAACATCCAACCAACCGAGCCACACTGGCAACAAAATAAGTTTATATTTTTATTTTATTGATTTCAGAGAGGAAAGGAGAGATAGAAACATCAATGATGAGAGAGAATCATTGATTAGCTGCCTCCTGCACGTCCCCTATTGGGGATCGAGCCCATAACCTGTGACCTGGTTCGTAGTCAGCCATGAACCACTGAGCCACACCTGCTGGGCCAAAATAACTGTAATAGCTTTTCTATAGTTATAATTTTGTCTCCAACATCTTTCCCCAGTTGGCAATGTTATTGAAATTAACATTAAACTTAGTAATTTGTGGAAAGTATTTGTACCTTTATATTCTAGGTAAGGAGTATACTAGTACATTGTGTAACTTGATTTGAAGTTATATTTTTAACTTTCTGTTTATATGAAGATTATTTTGTATAATCTTTGTTTTTGTATGTTTACCATGTTACATTTTTTTAAAAAAAATATCATGTTCACTTTTATGGAATTGTATAGGAATGTAAAAGAATTGTATGGGAAGTGGAAAGACTGCTGGCCAGTTTAGGAGCTAGTAAATAAGATTTTAGCCAAGTTCTATACCATATTAACTTTTGCCACCTGGGGGGAATTTAACTTCTCTATGACTGTTGACTTATCTGTCAAATGAATCAACCAAATTCTGTTTTGTTCTTCTGAACATGGCACACTCAGAGATGGACAGGTGTGCTTAGATTTAGATCAGATTCACTGTGACCTCCCAAACTCCACTCGCCTCAGGCCCAGGGTGAGGTACTCTTCTTGGTTTCTTTGTTCACAGCCTTCTTTGACTCCTTCCTTTTTCCTGATGGATTTTATCTTTTGTATTCTCAGTTTGCTGGGTTTTGTTCATAGATGAATAAGAAAAAAGCTGTCAGCTAGCCATTTTCCCCGAGATGGGACTTAGGCTCCAGAAATGTTCTATAGAAAAAAGCACTGGTAATGTTACAGTTTGAGAAGTGTAGTGAAGGTTACAATCCTTTGTGTGTTACAATCTTGAACTGTAAAGATCTTGTTCATTGTGGTACTTTAGTGTTAAAATGTGTGTTACTAAAAGGAATTTATTGTAATATTGAAGATGACATATATTCTTTGAACATTGTATACACATAAACAAGTTTTGTTTTGTTTTTTTTTTAGTCAGCTGCCTATGTTCATTTTACCTAAACTGTGGAATTGCCAATTCTTTTTCGTGATTTAGACTCATCTGTTTCTTTCTAAAGGTGTTGTAATCCTGATTGTTTAACAAATGCCATAATGTCCTTCAGCAGCCTAGAACTAATTTTGCAAACTATTTCTACAGAACTTAAGAAGATTTTGTTCATGTGTATGGCATAGAAGATGAATTCTTCCTCCTCCACCATGAATGAAGAACCCGATGCTCTATCGGTAGTTAACCAGCTGCGGGATCTGGCAGCAGATCCATTAAATAGAAGAGCCATTGTCCAGGATCAAGGATGTCTGCCTGGCCTTATTTTATTTATGGACCATCCCAACCCCCCAGTTGTCCACTCAGCTTTGCTCGTAAGTTGCCTTTAGTAGTTTCAGTCTCAGTGTTGTAATTTTACGATTAAGGAGAATTTGAAAAAGTGTTTTCTGACACCAATCAATTCTCTGATCCTCTGTGGGTACCAGCTGTGTGTTCAACAGTCCAGTTCAATTCTGACACTAACTAGCTGGCGCTATTAAACTCCAAGTCCCACAAGACTGCCCTCTCTTCAAAAGCCAGTTGCAAGTATCAGGTCACCCATATTTCTAACTGACCAGCTATAAATTGGGGGTTACACTGACCCCCTCCTCAGGTTTGATAATTTACTAGAATGGCTCACAGAACTCAGGAAGCCACTTTATTTACGTTTCCTAGTTTATTATAAAGGAAGCACGTAAACAGGTACATAGGGCAAGGTCTGGAAGGGTCCTGAGCACAGGAACTTCTATTCCTGTGGAGTTGGAGTGCACCTCCCTCCTGGCGGGGGACGTAGTCACAACTGAGAAATTCTGAATCTCCTTGTCCAAGAGTTTTTGTAGAGCTCAATCTTGCCACCCAGAAAGTTCCAAGGGTTTTAAGAGCTTTGTGCCAGGAACCAGACAGATCAAATATTTATTATACTGCACCACCCCAACCTCCCCAACTCTGATCTCTGATCCCCTAACTCAGCAAGAACAGTGAGCTCCATCTGGGCTCCTCCTCCCTGTGCTACAGTCTGGAAACTGCTTCCAACACAGTAAGATGGGGCAATTGTAGGGCCCACTTTGTCATTTCTCTTCTCAGGGATTACAATGCTATGCTGCCTCTTGTCCTGGTTATTATTTTTTTATGGAAGGATGGCAGTACCCATGGCTGTTAATCCTTTATGGACTGAAATGAAAGTCAAGTTGCAGAAAGGATAGGAGATTGTAGACAGAGAGAGGTTGAATTTGTGGTTACATAGATGGCATCGTTTTTGGTAAAGATCAGGCCCTTTGAAAATGGTGTAGAGGACCAGTAGAAAATGTGAACGTCACTGGACTGAGATGGCAGAGTTTTGGATGGGTGGTTCACAGCGGTATTTTCCTGAAAATCATGTACCAAAGTCTGGTGAATGATGAGAGATTATGGGGTCTGTAGAACAGCTAATGAGATCTCTAGAGAATTGGCATATGAAGGATATACTTACAAAATGTACTTTAAATTTTAAGAAAAAAGCACCCTAGAAAAAATGAACTCAGAAAGTATAAAATTGTGAGGTGAGCTCATCTTTTGCTTTTCAGTACAAAAAGACATATTGAAGGTGAATTGTAAAACTAGAAGCAGTTGATTCCATGAAGGTGGTTGTATGTTTTGTCCCCCTCAGCAGTTTATTTTGATTCTTAAGTGAAAAGCATCTAGGGAAATGATGGCTAGAGGGACTACTCCCTGAAGTTAATAAATGGAATATAGTTTCTTGTATCCTTGACAAGATGAAGTGATGAAAATAAAACCGGGAACAATCTAATTTTGACCTTGCAGATAAGCTAGGAGCCTTCATTTCAAAGAGCAGAATCAGCTACTTTAGCTCAAAGGATCATTTTACCCCAAGGGGACTGCTCTGATGATCACATTTAGAGAAGGGTTTCTAAACACTTCAAAACCAATTGATTGTCAAAACAAAAAGCTGTTTTCCTCTTGCAGTAAGTTAGTAGTGGGTTTAATTTTGAATAGTCTGGACACGTGAATTAATGTATTACTGTTTCTCCTGTAGGCTCTTCGATACTTGGCAGAATGCCGTGCTAACCGAGAAAAGATGAAGGGAGAACTGGGTATGATGTTAAGCTTGCAAAACGTTATACAGAAGTAAGTACAATAGTGTCTCCCAATGCAGTAGAAACGTGGATCTTCTTGTTAAATGTGTACTCATTGTTAATATATCATTTTACTGAAATTTTAATTCTAATATGGGTTATATGTACAAAAAAGTTCTGATGGCCAATATTCTTATATATGTACATATATATATATTTTTTAAAATTTTTTATTGATTTCAGAGGAAGGGAGAGGGGGGGAGAGATAGAAACATCAATGATGAGAGAGAATCATTGATCAGCTGCCTCCTGCACACCCCGCATTGGGGATTGAGCCCACAACCCAGGCATGTGCCCTTGACTGGAATCGAACCCGGGACCCTTCAGTCCATAGGCCAACACTCTATCTACTGAGCCAACCCGACTAGGGCTTAAATATTTGTTTTTAATACTAGTCCTTATGTAAACGTTCAAATTTTATTTTAAAATGTTGATAAACATTATGTTTACGGATATTTTTTAAAAAGAAAATCTTGCATTGTGTGAAGTTTTGTAAAGTAAATTGAATTGCTAGCGGAGCAATACAGGTGACTAATCACATTTGAAAATATGCAATGTTACAGTACAGCACAAAATTCTTTTGTTACTTCATCCCAGTCTTAACTGAAAAGAACCTTAATCAGTATTATGACAAAAAGGGCTTTCGGTGATATTTTCATGAGTATCATTGAGAAGGCTTTCAGGGACTAGTGCTATTTAATTAGCATTTTAGCTAATGGGTGGTTTGTAAATGTACGGTTCATCTTGTTATTTACAACATTTTGAAGTAGGTTTGATAACAGTTTTGTGGGTGAGGAAAATACTGAGGCTGTTACTTTATCTCTGGTCCTTCAGCTGTGTTGCCTCTGGGGATGTCTGGTTTGCTCCTTTCTTAGGCCTTGCTGATATCTTTGTAGAGGCTAGAAATTGAAGATTCAGTGTTTTGATATTTCCACTGTGTCTGGAAGAAAAAGGTAAGCTTTCTGAGGCTTTATCTAAGTTCATTTTTTATCTTATATAGGAGATGACTGCCTTTAAAACTAATAAATAATCACTTAATTTAATTTGACTTTTTAAAACTTACCTTGCGGTTTCTTTGGTTTGAGTGGTCATAAAAGTTCTTTTGTAATTGTCAAATACTACAAGTTAAATTATATCAGTGCAGAATCATCTAAACTCACCTGTAAGACAGTGTTTTTTTATTAGTGTTCTTGGCTCCTGGATAAATTTTATTAATCTCTTTTTTAAATACATTTTTTTATTGATTTTAGAGAGGAAGGGAGAGGGAGAGAGAGAGATAGAAACATAATGATGAGAGAGAATCATTGATAGGCTGCCCCCTGCAAGCCCCGACTGGGGATCAAGCCTGCAACCCCGGCACGTGCCCCTGACCGGAATCGAACCCGGGGCCCTCCAGTCCGCAGGCCAATGCTCTATCCACTGAGCCAAACCAGTCTGGGCTATTAATCTCGTTTTTTAGACATTACTTAAATATTTTGTTTTCATGGGGTCAGCTACCTGACAGACTAGTTCTTTGTGCTTAGATCTTTGATAATGACAAGGTAGAGACTGAAGTTTTCTTATTTTTATTCAGGTGATCAGTTAGGAATTAATAACAAAATATTGACTGCCATCAATTGTATTAACTATTGCCTGCAGTTTGAGTTCAATTCCATTAGTAAAAATTTGGAAATCTAGTTCTAACTTGAGACAAATAATTTATTTGCCCATCAGTTTCTTTATCTGTAAGTCTGAAGTAATACCTGCAAAGCAATTGATAATCCAACAAGATAATATCTGTAGAAATGCTTTATAAATTCTAAAGTGTGTAAAATACAAGGTAATCTTATTTTTGTTCCTAGTATGCTTTAGTGCCTTATAGTTAACTATTTTTTACATTGATTTTAGAGAGAGAAAGGGAGAGACAGAGATTGAGAGAGAAACATTGATGTGAGAAAGAAACTTCAGTTGGTTGCCTTCTGCATGTGCCCCAACTGGGGATTGAACCCACAAACTGGGTATGTTCCCTGATTGGGAATTGAACCTGCCACCTTTTGGTATACGGGACTATGCTCCAACCAGATGACCCACACTGGCCAAGGCACTATAGTTAACAATTTTTAACTGACATATATAGTGCTATTGGATACAGTGAAAGGTTTAAGCATAATAAGGATGCTTCTGTAGGCCTATTTTATTCATATGATGAACTTGGACGATTATGGATTCCTTTACAGCGGTTCTCAACCTGTGGGTCGAGAACAATGAAAATACATCCTGCATATCAGATATTTACATTACGATTCATAACAGTAGCAAAATTACAGTTATAAAGTAGCAATGAAAATAATTTTATGGTTGGGGGTCACCACAACCTGAGGAACTGTATTAAAGGGTCGTGGCATTAGGAAGGTTGAGAACCACTGCTTTAATAGGTATAGTTATGGAAGTTGAAAATATTTGGTAAAATTTTTAAAATTTTAAGAAATTAGTTGAAAAATTAATGTTGATATATTAAAATATACTTCATATTTGAACTTCAAAGATTTAGCCTATAAAATAATTTCTTAGCTTGCCCAGCTGGTGTGGCTCAGTGGTTGAGCATTGACCTATGAACCAGGAGGTCATGGTTGACACATGTCCAGGGCTTGATCCCCAGTATGGGGCGTGCAGGAGGTAGCCAATCAATGATTCTCTCTCATCATTGATGTTTCTATCTCTCCCTCTCCCTTCCTCTCTGAAATCAAAAATATATTTAAAAAAATAATTTCTTAGGTTGGTTGGCTATGGTTGTGGTATATCTATAAAATAGGGAAACTACTTGTATATTTGTAAGAGAAGTGGTGTGTTAGTTCAGGACATTATCTCAGCATATTATGTGGAAGGAGATGCTGATATGGAGTAAGAAATGGAAGAGGTTTGTTGTGGGGTAAGGTCTGTAGGATAAAGGAGAATGAAGCAGTTTTGGACTACAGACTAGACTACAACACAGATTCACATCTGTAAAAGGAAGGTGGAGAGGAAACTAAATGGACAAGGAGAGTCTCAGGTTGCACTACAAGTTGGACAGCCAAAACAGCGGGGAGCTCCAAAGCAAGGATTACCCTGTAGATGGGTTTTCATTAGGTAGGAATGGCCAGGCCCCCACTATTCAGTCAGTGGCTGGGGCCTGCCCTGGAAGAGCCAGGCCTTGGAGTGAATGAATGAAAGGTGCGTATGATGAATATCAAAGCCACAATTGTTGGTGGCTCTATTACTAGACTTCCTGCAGCTGAAAGGCATATGTCTTTGTTAAAGGAAGATCCAAGCATTGTATCTCCATGGCTGCCACAGTGGCCTATCTTTTAATTTAAATATAGCATTTTTTTTTAGAACAATTGTTGCTGGCTTCTTCAGTAGTAAAACAGATGTACATCTGTTGCATACTCCATCATTTTAATTTGGTCCTATAGCCCTCTCAAAAGAGAAGATGTGATGTAATGATTCTTATATACATTTTGCAACTCATTTGGCTGTTGGAGATCTCAGATTTGAAGGTTGCCTTTCAAACTTTTAAGGCATCACCTCTGTTTACCATAGTAACCATCTTAGAAGTTTGTATGTTTGAATGTTAAAAGTATGTGTTTTTGCTTGTGCTGGCTTGGCTTGTAAACATTAAGACTTTGTATTAGAATCGGGCTTTGGCATCCCATCTATATATATAAAAGCCTAAGCAACTGTCTGACCAGTAGTTATGATGTGCAGTGACCACTAGGGGGCAGACGTTCCGACCGGTAGCTATGACATGCACTGACCACCAGGGGGCAGATGCTGAACGCAGGAGCTGCCGAGCTGCAGTGGCTTGGCAGCTGTGGTTCTCGGGTGATGCACCAGGAACCAGAGAGGAGGGAGCCCAATTCCGGGGTATGTCACTCGAGAACAGCCCTCTCACAGTCTGGGACCCCTCGGGGGATGTCGGAAAGCTGATTTTGGCCCGATCCCCGAGGCCAGGCTGAGGGACCCCACCAGTGCACGAATTCGTACACTGGGCCTCTAGTTTTCATATAACAAGCTGTAGCCAAGAGATCTATGTTCTATACTTTTTTTTTTTCTTGATGTCTAGCCAGTCAGGATGGGATTCCTACAGGATCTCTGTCAGCATACTGAATTAGGGCAGATTTAGCTGTGATTCCATGGACTTATGCAGCTAAGGAAGTAAAAGAGAGGTCTTCCCATATCCCAGAGCCACAGAACCAAGAAAATCTGTTGTGAAGGGTTGCTACTTTGAAGAGAAACTTTCCATTTAACAGTAATCAAGGGGGAAACAAAAAAGCAGAAGTATGGAGAGGAAATGGAGGTTATTCTTCACATGGAAAGCAGAGAGTAATACTTTATAAAATAGGGAGCGTGCAGGACAAATTTTCTCATTGATGTTTCTATCTTTCTCTCCCTTCCCCTCTTCCCCCCCCCCACCCAAGTCAATAAAAACATATTTATTGCCCTGACCGATTTGGCTCAGTGGATAGAGTGTCAGCCTGCGGATTGAAAGGTCCTGGGTTCAGTTCCAGCCAGGGGCACATGCATGGGTTGTGGGCTTGATCCCCAATGGGGGGTGTGCAGGAGGCAGCCAATCAACAATTCTCATCATTGATGTTTCTATCTCTCCCTGTCCCTTCCTCTCTGAAATCAATAAAAATATGTTTAAAAGAAACAAAACATATTTACTTACTTTTTTTTTTTTTTAAATCCTCACCCAAGGACATTTTTCCATTGATTTTTTTTTTTTTAAGAGAGAGTAGAAGGCAGGGGGAGAGACAGAAACATTGATGTGAGAGAAACACATCCATTGGTTGTGCACCCATATGTTCATAGCAGCACAATTCACCATAGTTAAGATCTGGAAACAGCCTAAGTGCCCATCAGTAGATGAATGGATTAGAAAACTGTGGTACATCTACACGATGGAATACTATGCTGCTGTAAAAAAGAAGGAACTCTTACCATTTGCAACAGCATGGATGGAACTGGAGAGCATTATGCTAAGTGAAATAAGCCAGTCAATGAAGGAAAAATACCACATGATCTCACACATTCATGGATAATAGAGACCATTACAAACTCTTGAACAATAATAGATACAGAGGCAGAGCTGCCTCAAACAGATTGTCAAACTGCAGCGGGAAGGCTGGGGAGGGTTGGGGGGCAGGAGGGAAGGGGGTAAGAGATCAACCGAAGGACTTGTATGCATGCATATAAGCATAACCAATGGACATAAGACACTGGGGGGTAAGGGAGGGCAGGGGATTGTCAAGGGCGGGGGAAAAAAAAGGACACATATGTAATACCCTTTGTAATACTTTTAGCAAAAAAAAAATAAAAATTAATAAAATAAAAAAAAAGAGAGAGTAGAAGGCAGGGGGAGAGACAGAAACATTGATGTGAGAGAAACACATCCATTGGTTGTCTCCTGCAGGCGCCCTGACCAGAGCTCGGGATTGAGCCTTTGACCAGAATCAAACCCGGGACCCTTCAGTCAGTGGGCTGATGCTCTATCCAGGGAGCATCTGGCTAGGGCAGTAAAAAACATATTTTTATTTAAAGGAGATTCGAATGGGGGTGCCCCAAGGTGGGCACACACTGGCTTCTTTGTCTTGAGTTTTATTTACTTTCCAAGGGTGGGGATTTTAGGGGAGTCCTCAGGGGAGATCTCAGTAGAATATCCTTTTAGGGTCGTGGTCTCCACTGATTGGTCAGGACCAGGGCAGGGGTCATTAGTCATTGCAGCTGGTCCTGGTCTTGTCTGCCTCGTTTTACTGCTTTTCTGGGCCTGGAGCTGAAATACAACTGAGGCCTAGATGTTATCTCTAGGGAGGAAAGGTCAGGGAAGGATCCTATGACCAGCAATGTGCTAGGGGAGGAAAGGCCACCCTGGGGGTGAGGTGGCACCAGTTTTGCCTGCTGCTAGGCACCCACGACTTCCCATCCTGGTGACCTGTATCTGACTGTAAATGCTTGGCCAGTTTGTTCATCTACCTGTCTCAGTTTCCACATTCCACTTGTCAAGGAATTTTCCTAGCTTCTTACTATCCTGCCTCACAATAAAGTATATGGAAGTCTTAACTGGCCTTCATGGGCAATATAAAATGTTATTAGCAGCATCTAGAATTAGAGTGACTTGCTGTATATGACCAATAAGGAAATATTATACTTGCATTCAGAATGAAAATTATTTTTGCTGTATAATAAAGATCATAGTTCAGTTTTTAGTTGCGTTTTATGAATAACGTTTTGAACCTTTTCAATATAGATAAGTAATTAGAAAAAATGGCGAGGAGTCAATATACTTCATTATGGAATACTAAATTACTGAAAGAAAAATTCCAATTACTCTGTGAAGGAGCCTTTCAAGGTAGTCTTTTTTTCTGATGTCAGATTTTAAAGACTGAACTAAATCCAGGGCATTAATCAGCTCTCCATTTTCAACTGCCTAGGAAGATTAGGGCAATTAATACTTGTTTAATTATACATTCTCTCTAACATTTATGGCCAAATGTACTATATAACTGTAGACTTTTTCTACTTGAATGTTTTGTATCATAGTATTTGAACAATAATTTTGGTTTATTAAAAATAAAGACTAAGCTTTTTATTCTGTAAATGCTCTTGGATTTTTTTTTCTTCAAAAGCATATTTTTTAAAAGAAGGAAATAATTGTTTTTAATTGATTTGTTGGTCAGCAATATGCCAGTATCCTCGTACTCTTTACAACTTATGATTGGCAGTATTTAAAATATCTCAGAACTACAGTGGCCTTTTCAATAAACTAAAACAGCTATCAGAAAAGTGCTGAGACATCTCCTAAAAAGTAGTCTTTTTCATAGCTTTGTGCAATACAGAGCCAAAGTCATTTGAAGTAATTGACCTCTGTGGTCAGCAGTGACTCAAAAAAGCACTTGTATAATAAATTGAGGGCCCTTCTAGAAAGTTGTTTGGAATTGAAGGTCTTTGTGGCTAGAATGTATACAGTCTGAATATTAGACATTGTAGTATTCCTGCTCATTCAATAAGCAAATGGATTGCAAAAATATGTATTAGGCTTTGTGGAAGGTACAGAGAGAATACAGCCCTATTCTTGAAGAGATAGAAATAGAAAATTAAAATCAATAGTAAAAGTACAAGCATAGTACTTTGAATGGCGGTTGAGCTGAGCCTTTAAGGCAGAAATAAGAGTTTGAAAGCTGAGGGAAAAACATTTATAAAAGGTCACAATGAGCTGGTTATGGTAGAGTTCAGTTGGTAGAGATTAGATTTTAAAGACCTTGAATGTATGTTAAAGGATTTGGACTTTAGAGGTGAAATGTGCCTACGTCCTGCATCGCCCTACTGAGGATCAAGCCTGCAACCTGGGTATGTGCCTGGACCAGGAATGGAACCTGGGACCTCTTGGTGTATGGGTCAATGCTCAGCTACTGAGCCACACAGGCTGGGCACATATGGCTATTTAAATTTAATTACAAGTAAACAAAATTCATTTCTTTAGTTGCACTTGAGAGACAGACACATATCAAGCGCTCAATAGCCACATGTGAGTGGACAGAGCAGGTATAGAACATTTCTTCAGTGTAGAAAGTTTGTTGGGTAGCATGGCACAGATGTTTATGTGGGAAGCTATAGCAGGATTTAAAGTGTAAGAATGAAAACTCTTGTCTGAATTGTGGTTTTATGATACATGCTTTGTGAAAAATATGTAAAAATGCAAATTAAGAAACAAAATTAGTTTGAATTTTCTAAGAAATTTCTATTGAAATAATTCTAATATGAATGATCTTCTAATGTGTTTTCTCCTTTCGGATTTTTATGTTGTATTTTCTTGAAGGTCAGGTTACTTTCAAATTGGGAGCTGAATGTTAGTGTTAATCCAGGGACTTGTTATATTCTGATCTTTTTAGTTGATTTCCTACTTAATTAATGATTTCAATTAAATGTGCTTTTATAGCATTGTAGTGATGATGAGTTTTGAATCTCAATGAACCATGGGTTTAAAATGAAATGCAAAGACTTTATCATAGACTAGATCAGTGGTTGGCAAACTCATTAGTCAACAGAGCCAAATATCAACAGTACAACGATTGAAATTTCTTTTGAGAGCCAAATTTTTTAAACTTAAACCATATAGGTAGGTACATTGTTATTAACTTAATTAGGGTACTCCTAAGGCTTAGGAAGAGCCACACTCAAGGGGCCAAAGAGCCACATGTGGCTCGCGAGCCGCAGTTTGCCGACCACGGGACTAGATGCTTTTTCTACATTACTGATTAGTTTAGGATTCACTGGTATTTTAAATTGAACAAACCAGAATGAAGAAAGCAAGACTTTGCAAACTTGAGGAATAAAATTATAGAGTCAATAGAAGTGACAATACTAATTTATATATTTCTTTTCAAGGACTACAACTCCGGGAGAAACAAAACTGCTGGCCTCTGAAATCTATGACATTCTTCAATCTTCCAATATGGCAGATGGTGATAGTTTCAATGAAATGAATTCACGTCGAAGGAAAGCGCAATTTTTTTTGGGAACTACAAACAAACGTGCCAAAACGGTGGTTTTACATATAGATGGTCTTGATGATACGGTAAGACTTTTATAAACACGTGGTTCATAAGATGGGAAAGAGAAATCATGTTAACTAAATAGTTTCCTCAGTGTCACCTGCTAACAGTCTTGAAGAGTAAGTCCCAATGTTAGTATTTTATACTGATAAAGGGGAGCATTTTGTGCCCAAGAGGCTAGTTAATCACAGGACATCACAGTTGTAAGCATTTATACCCTAATAACTAGAACTTCAAAATACATGAAGCAAAAACTGACAGATTCAAAGAGAAATAGATAAATCTACAGTTAGAGCTAGAGGTTTGAATACCACTCTCTCAGTTAATAGAACAACTCTACAGAAAATCAGTAAGGGTATGGAAGACTCAACTCTAATAACCAACTTAACCTAATTGATAGTTATAGAATACCCCACCCAACAGCAAGATAATATTTATTCTTTTCAAGTGCACGTGGAACATTTGCCAAGATCGCCTCCCTTTTTCCTTCTTATTTGTTGATTTAGGTTTATTTATTTTTATTTTTTATTTATTTAATTTTCTTCTTTATTGATTAAGGTATTACATATGTGTCCTTATCCCCCCATTGCCCCCCCCTCCTCCCCGCTAGGGTTTATTTTATATATCTTTAACTATCACAGTGTAGCTTCACTTACTATTGCAGTAGTTCTTCCTTATCCACGGGTATAAGTTCCAAGAACCCCAGTGGATGTCTGAAACCACGGATAGTACCCAATTCTATATATGCTGTGTTTTTTCCTATACATACATGCCTTTTCACTTAAAGGAAGGAAGCCCTTTATGGCTTATCGTTGGCATATTTTGCCAGCATCGTTGCTCTTGTGCTTTGGGCCATTATTGAGTTACTTGAACACAGGTGCTATGATACCATAACAGTTGATCTGATAACCAGGAGGACTGCTAAGGAACTAAGAGGCAGGTAGTGTTTACAGCATGGAAACGCTGGACAAAGGGATGAATTATTTGTGTGTGTGGAGGAGGGATTGCATGAAATTGCATCACATTACCCAGAATGGTGTGCAATTTAAAACTTATGGATTGTTTATTTCTGGGGTTTTCCATTTAATATTTTTGGACCACAGTTGACTGCAGGTAACTGAAACCACAGAAAGCAAAATTGTGAATAAGTGGGGGCTACTCTGTCACTTTATGCATCGTGTAAGACATAACACTGTACTTCTATTTCCTTTATCTCTGTCTTTGTGCTATTGTTATCATATGTTTTATTTCTGCATATGTTATAAGCCTCCAAATACATTGCTATTACATTAAATATTTTTTTAAAATTTTTCAAAATATTTTTAAATTTAGTGATTTGAGAGAGAGAAAAACATTGATTTGTTGTTCCACATACTTATGCATTCACTGGTTGATTTTTGTTTGTGCCCTGACTGGAGATTGAACCTGTAACCTTAGCATGTTGGGACCATGTTCTAACCAACTGAGCTGCCTGGGCAAAATTCTTTTCCTGACTGGAGATTGAACCTGTAACCTTAGCATGTTGGGACCATGCTCTAACCAACTAAGCTGCCTGGGCAAAATTCTTTTCAATTTTTTATTGTGAATATATATATAGCATAAAATTTACCACTTTTACCATTTTTAAGTATAGCTTGCAGTGGTATTAAATACATTCATAATGTTGTGCCATCATCTCCACCATACATCTATGTATGTACAATTTTTTATCTTGTAAAACTGGAATTCTGTACCCATTAAACAATCACTTCCTTGTCTTCCTTCCCTGCAGCCCACCACTACTCTACTTTCTGTCTCTATGATTTTTAAAAAGTTAGTCTCTTCTAAAGAGACTGACAGAACTTAGGACTCAGCAGAGCGGAGTCCACAGGCAGTGCACTCGATGAGCCCCTGCGGGTCTGCACACCGCCACGCCCACTATCCCAGATCCTTGCCTGGGGAGTATTGAAATGTAGTCAGGAGTAGGGAGTAGTGAAAAATTGGTTTAAATAGGGAGATAGCAAGAATGTGAGTTGTTTGGAGGGATGTGGGAATAAATGTGAAGGCTGATTTTATTTCATAAAAGAGAAGAATGAATTGGGTAATTTGAAGGCAGTGCTTCTCAGGGTGTGATCCAGAGACTTGGAGTCAGTTGTAGATTCCTGTCCCCTCAGAAGTACCAAATCAGCACTAGCCGGTTTGGCTCAGCGGATAGAGCGTTGGCCTGCAGACTGAAGGGTCCCAGGTTCGATTCCAGTCAAGGGCACATGCCTGGGTTGTGGGCTCAATCCCCAGGAAGAGGTGGGCAGGAGACAGCTGATCAATGATTCTCTCTCATCATTGATGTTTTATTTCTCTCTCCCTCTCTCTGAAATCAATAAATATATATCTATATCTATCTATCTACCTAGATAGATATAGATATGTATATTTTTAAGATTCTTTATTGTTGAAAGTTTTACATATGTTTTCCCCCCCATTGACCTCTCCCCGCCCACTCCCACCCCCCAGCACATGCCCCTAACCCGATAAAAATATATTAAAAAAAAAAAATAAGACAGTGGTGGAAATCCTACCTTAAAAAAAAAAAAGAAGTATGGAATTAGAACCTAGTCTCAGTATAGTCAGTACAGAAATGAGAAAATTTAGATGTGTGGGCTGGGGAGGAAGATGGAATGAGGAGAAACTACTTTTTAATTCATTTTCTCTTTGGATCTTGTGATTGAGATAACTACTTACTTGATATCTAAGTGGATATATCTGAAGACAAATGAAAATAAAATCATACTGGAATATGTCTGTGTTTCTACGTGGAAATGATAATAGTCTACTGAGGGGTGAAGTAAAAAGAAAATCCCTTAGCTTTAGACACTGGACCTTGGAGATAAGATGACACAGAGATGGAATAATTGTGGTGTAAGTGGAAGACCAGGGTAGTGTATTAGGAGTTGAAGAAGCATTGAGAGGTGATATTGTACTTTAACAGCAAAATGAGAACCAAAAAGAGGATATTGATAATCCTAGAAAATGAAGTGGGTACCTATTGAGAATGCCATTTATGAAGGATGTAGTGATGGTTATAAATACCAAGTGCTTTAAAAAATAGTCAAACAATGAATGCTCACTAATTCTAACTTTATTATAATTTGTCCTTAGAGATATTTAAGCTACAGCAGAGGTCAGCAAACCTTTTCTTTAAAGGGCCACATAGTAAATATTTAAGGTTTTTCAGGGCATATGGTCTCCAAGTACTAACTATGTTGTAGAATGAAACTAGCTTCAGGCATTCTGTAAACACATAGGTGCAGGTGTGTTCCAGTAAAACTTTATTTTTAAAAATATATTTTTATTGATTTCAGAGAGAAAGGGAAAGGGAGAGAGAGATAGAAACATCAATGAATGATCAGCTGCCTCCTGCATGCCCCCCAGTGGGGACTGAGCCTGCAACCCAGGCATGTGCCCTTGACTAGAATCGAACTGGGGCCCCTTCAGTCCGCAGGCCAATACTCTATCCACTGAGCCAAACCGGCTAGGGCTGGAACTTAATTTACAAAAACAACTGGCGGACTAGTGTTTGCCCATCCTTGAGCGAAAGGTATGTCTACTGTTCAGCACTTTTCTTTCTTTTTTTTTTTTATATAAACAAAGTACTTTTTTTAAAATATAAATTTTATTGATTTTTTACAGAGAAGGGAGAGGGATAGAGAGTTAGAAACATCGATGAGAGAGATCGATCAGCTGCCTCCTGCACACTCCCCACTGGGGATGTGCCCGCAACCAAGGTACATGCCCTTGACCAGAATCAAACCTGGGACTCCTCAGTCCGCAGGCCGACGCTCTATCCACTGAGCCAAACCGGTTCGGCAGCACTTTTTCTTTTTGCTTTAAGATTTAAATTGACATTGGCTGATTTCTTGGTAAAGTTATCAAAACTAAATATTAGTAATGAGCTTGAAAACAATCTAGCAGAGAATACTATTCTGTTGATCTTATAACATGTAATAAACTTGACTAAGCACCAATCTCCCCATGTCCTCACATAGGAGATGGTGGAACTGAAATAGGGACATTTGTTCCCCATGATGCTACTCCTTCTCCCCTTCACCCCCCCAAATCTAATGACTAGTTTAGTGTGGTTTCAGTTGATTTATTCCCTTTTATTATTTTGCCAATTTTGATAACAATTTGCTTTTACTTTTTCAGTCTCGGAGAAATCTATGTGAAGAAGCTTTGTTAAAAATTAAAGGTGTCATTAGCTTTACTTTTCAAATGGCTGTTCAAAGATGTGTGGTGCGAATCCGGTCAGATTTGAAAGCAGAGGTTAGTATATTAAATGCTGAATATGCTCAAGATCCTAGGAAACAAATCAATGTTCAAATTTGTCCCTTTTTTATCTTGGCCTAGGCTTTGGCATCAGCGATAGCATCAACCAAGGTTATGAAGGCTCAGCAAGTTGTGAAAAGTGAAAGTGGAGAAGAGGTAAAAGCTTTACAGACTTTTATACCTAACTCTGACTCCCGATTGTTCTCTATGGCTAGCAGATTGTTTTTAAACCAATAGCTGCCAAGGATATAGCAATGTGATTGGGCTAGATTATCTCAGTGTTTCTTGGTTAACAACTCTTTTAGAGGTATAGAAAGATCTTTTGTGGATTTCAGCCTGTTTTTATATCTTACATTTTGTGAATTTCAGACTCTTTTAAAAATATTTTTTTATTGATTTTAGAGAGGAAGGGAGAGGGATAGATAGAAACATCAGATGAGAGAGAGAATCCTTGATCGGCTGCCTCCTGCACGCCCTCTATTGGGGATCGAGCCCGCAACCCAGGCATGTGCCCTTCGCCAGAATCGAACCTAGGACCCTTGAGTCTGCAGGCCGACGCTCTATCCACTGAGCCAAACCGGCTAGGGCTTTTTTTAAAATATATTTTTATTGATTTCAGAGAGGAAGGGAGAGGGAGAGAGATAGAAACATCAGTGATGAGAGAGAATCACTGATCGGCTGCCTCCTGCACGCCCCCTACTGGGGATCGAGCCTGCAACCCGGGCATGTGCCCCTGACCGGAATCGAACCCGGGATCCTTCAGTTTGCAGGCCAATGCTCTGTCCACTGAGCAAAACTGGCTAGGGGCTGCATTGGTCTTTTTTTTTAATTGTCTAAAGTTTTGCATATGTCTTCTTTTTTCCCAGGAGACCCCCCGGCCCCCCCAGCCATTCCCATCC